GGAGGGCGGCAGGGCTGGCCCGCGGGCTCAGTGTCCGTCCGTCCTTGCTCTCCAGCAGAGCCAGGGAAGCCGTTGGTGGGCTGAGCTGTTCAGAGCTCAGTACTCCGTTGACGGAGGCGTGCCTGGCATCACGTAATGGCTGGTAATTCAGCTCTTCGACGATTGCAACAGCACTCTCCGTGGCCTTTCTTCTCCTCTAATGATGGAGAGGCCCCTGGGTGTTTGAGCCTCTCTGACTTTAATGAAGAGCGAAAATGGTGCGGTGCTGCCTAGCTGGAGAGGCCAGCACACCCTGTGGGATGAAACACTGCCATTTCCTAGGCCGAGGCAGGGGTTGGGATCTCCCTCTCATGCTGTGGAAGACTGAGCTGACGTTAATTAGTGACCTCTCGGAGCCCCCTGTGAGTCAGATCAGGTTAAAGCCTCCCCTCCCGGCAGAGCTGGGGAAACTGAGGCTTTGGGTAGCGGCATGGCAGGGCTGGGCTCAGGCAGCGAGGCAGGAATCGCGCCCAGGGTTGGTAGTTTGTGGTTGCCAGCTCTGTGCTGGGTACTCCGCGCGTCACGGCGGCGGCTGGCGGACCCCTGCCGTGCTCCCTGGCTCGGCACCTCTGAGTTTTGAGACCGGTCTGCGCGGCTGGGGTCGGTGGGGACCACAGCCTGAGGCTGATGGTGCTCTGGCTCAGCAAGGGGCTGTGATCCAAACTTCTCGTCTCATCGCAGCGGTCCGTGGTGCCATCTTGCTCTGCCCCGTGCCCAGAGATCAAGCTGCATCCATCTGGCCCTCCTCAGATGTAACTGTCCCTGTTTCACTGTGCCTTTGCCTGCGCTCCGGATGCGCCTGTCCAGTTGTGCAGTTCCCCCGGCAGGACAGAGAGCCTTGGTTGTGCCATTCCTGGAGTCCTTCATGCCCTGGTTAAATCCTTTGCGGACCTCCCCATGAGTTCAAACAGGGGTATTGTCCCCTCTTGGCAGGCAGGCCACGGAGAAGCCACATGTTTTCCGCAACGTTTGCACGTGAACAGTCTGTGGCAGAACAAGGAGGTCAACTCTGCTCTCACGTCCCCAGCTAGCATCTGCACAGCGAGACTGTCCTCTGCTTACTTTGCAAGTCCTCTCCTTGCACCCTGTCTCACCTTCTTCTGTGCCTTTAGGAACTCAAGACTGTCATCTTCATAGGGTTTTCAAGCCATTCACTGACTCCCCTTTCCTTCTCCCTTTATCTCTTAGTGGATATTCGTGAAATCAAAGAGATTCGTCCAGGAAAGAATTCACGTGACTTTGACCGGTACCAGGAGGATCCATGCTTCCGACCAGACCAGTCGCACTGCTTCGTTGTCCTCTATGGCATGGAATTCAGGCTGAAGACCCTCAGCTTGCAAGGTAAAGCGCTTGTGTCCCCCAGGGTTGTGCCAGTGAGGGCACCACAGGCCCTCGTCACCGCAGTACCTGGACTTTGCATGCATCCTTCCAGGAGTGAAGGGAGCATATCCCTGGGCAGATGGTTTTGTCATACACAAGGGGTATATTTGGAAGTAGGTGGTACTGGTTCACTGAAGGGTAAATGTTCACGCTGATCTAATTAAGCCAGTTAATTCACCTGATAAAACCAAAAGCTGTATGAACTGAACCCTCTAGTTCAAATGTGTGCTTGAAATAAATGTTGTTGTCTCAGCTTGTCATGTTGGTGTTCATCGGCTGTGTTGTGCTAACTTGCCACACACATGAAGCGGTAAAACCCGACCTGTTTCTGCTTTGCAATTCTGAGCAATAAAACACTGCCAGTTACTGCTAGTGACACATGGTAACTCTCAAAGCCAGGGTAACTCTGACACATTGTTTCAGTTTTCCTAAACATCTTGCTGGTTGACTTAGGCTGGACGGGGAGCAGCCAGTCTTGTCTTGTGTTCCGCTGTTGATGAACAGAGGTCTGTGCTGTTGAGTTACCTCCTGTCTGGGGTGGGTGGAAGACAGGCTCATAATCACTTGCTGTAGTTCAGCTGACGGATAATAACTTTTTCGACTAACAGTGCTCAATCTTGTGTCTTATTTAAACGAGCCCTGATGGAGGCAGTCACACTGAATGTCCGTGGACATTCTGCTTTCTGCCTAATGCTCACTGCAGCACTCGGGGACAGATAGCACTCCTGCCTTCAGAAAGGATGCAGCTGGTAACAGAGAGGTTAAGGAGGAGTTAGCACACGTTCCCAAGGAGTTGCTGACCTGTCACCCAGGGCAGCCTGAGCATTACTCCTTGGGGACAAAGATAACACCCTAGTGCTCAGGAACTGAATGGAGCAAAGCATGTGATGTGGAGGGGATGGCGTCTAGCCAGCTGTGTACATCCTGAGGGAGATGAGCAGAAGCTCGGCAGGGAGAGTTTCTTCTTTCGACCAAAGAAACTCTGCAAGGAGAGTTCCTATCGCGCAGCAGCTCCCTCCCGTTGGATGAAGGAAGGGATCCACAGCGCTGGGGTTAGGCTCAAGAGGTTTGGGTTAGTGAGCCTCTTTGTCCCTTCCTCCCATTTCTCCTTTTCCTTCTTTCCACAGCCACCTCCGAGGACGAGGTCAACATGTGGATCAAAGGGCTGAACTGGCTGGTGGCAGATACTTTAAAGGCCGCCACCCCCCTGCAGATTGAAAGGTGATAAACTTGTCCATGTCTGGGGGAGTGAGAGGCCCAGACTAAGGGAACGGAGCAGGCAGCTCCTCAGCACAGTCCTTCTGCCCTTGTCCTGCACTTAGATTTTTATCCCAGTGAGCCTCCAGCTCCCCGTACCTTTGATTTTGTGCAGACTTATCTGTGTGCTCGCTTTCAGGCAGAGAGAGTCTGCGTGAAAATACGGCAGGCTGCCCTGGAAGGGGAACAGAGCCAGGTCCTCCGATGGGAAGGAGGGCTGCATGAGGGGGTGGTGAGACATCAAGCATCTTCTGGCTACAGCAGCAAGCAGAACGGGCTTGTTGTTAACAAGTTAAGGCTAAGTGTGTGCGTGTTTATGCCTTTCCTTTTAGATGGCTCCGGAAGCAGTTCTACTCACTGGATCGTAACCGGGAAGACAGGTAAAAAGAGAGAGAAACTCTCCCTTGAACAGACTTATATATTCACAGAAGCAAGGCTCATTTTACCTGGTGCCAAAGCCTCAATATTTAAGAGGGCCTAGAAACACTAGAAACACCTTTAAAAGCCCCCCCTCCCCCCAGCATAACATCTTTTTGGCCCCTTCTGACTGTACTGAGCTGCAAAGGCTTCCAGTGACGGCTGTCGCATGCACAGAGCTGTCCTGCTCTTGCCTTGGGTACAGAGAGTCACAGTGAGACTTGCCTACCTGGATTCGGGTGCTGAATAAGACCCATGGTTTGTACTGCTTCCAGGGGAGGCGTTGAGCTAGAAGGGTTTCCCTTTGACTTAAAAATCCAAAGCAAAGGCTGCTTTTGAGTTTTTTAGGTTTTTAGCTTTCATTTCCAAGAAACCTTAGTCCAGTCTTTTCCTAACTGGTTTTCACTGAATTCAAACATCAAAAAAAATCATCATCTTTGTTTCCCTGACCTGTTTCTCTGCTGTTTGGACCCAGTAACACCTTGAGACCTAGTAGCTGTGAGGCACCTTCACCCCGCAACCGGCATTGCCAAAGGAAACAAATACAAAAGAGCCAGAAGACACCTTTGGCCACCCGTTTCGGGGCTAAACTGGATTCTGCTTGTTACTCTCCACCCTGTGGCACCACCCTGTTTGTTTTATTCTGCTCCTCTGAGGACTGTAAGGCTGTGGATCATCCCATTGCTTGATTTCTAGATTGGCGGCTTGCAGCAGGGTGGCTGCCTGTGGGATTCCTGGGGGTGTTTCTAGCGATCTCCTAGTAGATGAAATGTCATGCTTGGACCCGTCATGAGGAGAATCAGGTTGATCCAGGGCAGGTCGGGGAAGGGTACATATGCCATATTGTGGAGATGAATTTCTACTCCCTGCCTGCTTTGCCCCCTGCTCCTGCAGCCTGCTTAGCCCAGGGCTGGCAGTCTTCTCCTCTCGAGGTGCTGTTCTTTGCCTCCTTTCGTCACTGGGACGTGATTTTCCCCTGTGATGTTAACTGAGTGCAATAACCTTTCAGTGTTGATTTCCGTGCTAACACGCTGCCCCGAGGTAGCAGGCTGTCCCACAGGCCTGCTCAGGAGAGGGGAGAGCGGAGGGAAGAGCTGGAGGCATCACGGATGCAGCAGTACGTGTCCTCCAGCAACGCTAGAGCACCTGGGCTCCATCTGCTTCCTTTATTTGCCTAGGCTGGGCTTACTGCCCTGGCAACGGAGCACCTGGCAGATCGCTGTATTGCAGAAGACCTTCCATTTTGTCTCTTCCCCAGTATTAATCTAGCAGTGCTAACGATTTCCACGTTTCGCCCTGGAGTCCCTCTGCTCCTTGCAGGAAGCTCCCGCCAAGAAACTTTTTGTAGCTGCACTCGTGAACCTGGCTCTCCGCGCCAGGGGCTCACGGCTGGAGGAACCGTGGGCGAGTTTGCACCGCCGTCAGACAGGTCCATCCTGTGGATGAGCCGGCAAAAGCAACCGCGCGTGGTCAGCGGGGAGCGGTGAAGCGGGCAGGTCCTCTTGTCCTTACTGCTGTTTCTGCCTCCCTTCCAGACTTTTTGTGCTGCCCCATGTCAGCCAGGACAGACAGAAAAGCCTGCTCTTGAGCAGCCTGGGATTAAATTAAACCTGGTCAAAACTCGGAGCGGAGCAGAGTGGGAGAGGAAGTGTTTTGCATCGTACAAATCTCCATGCATTGGGTGTTTTCACCTAAGAAGACGGGTGTTTTCACCTTGGGAACTGGTGGGGCCTCATCTCTCCTGCGCTCTTCCCAGGGCAGCTTGAGCTTAAATTTACCAGAGAGGTGTCTGGAGGTGTTCGTTAGTGAGTGATGATGTATAGATGCTGTGCAGACCTCTCTAGATGAAGGCCTCATCTGTCCTGCTTAGCTGTAAGCAAAGAACTGACGTGGCCAAAATTCAGAGCTGATTTCCCTTGTCGGTGGAGAGGGAGTGTTTTGGAGGGGCCCGTCTCCTTCCCGTTGCTTATGAAGGGATGTCAGTGGCTGTGATCCCGACCTGAATGAACGTGGGCTTTATGTCCACTCCAGAGCTGCCTACGAGCGCCAGAAATCAGACCCCATGACCCTCCCAGTCCCTCCCAGTTTCGCCTTTGCAGTGATTCGGATCAGCACGGTGAAGCAGTGCTTGGTCCATTGGGGTTTTGCGGAGGAGGGGTTCGTCCTCGCAGAGGTGGAAAGCGAGTGTGAGTGGTGCCTTTAATGTGTTGCAGCTGCTCTGCATGTGCCACATGCCTTTCGAATCAAAGCTTGGTTTTCCTGCGTCGTAGCACTCGGCATACTGGTTTCCATCGATGACTGGGCGTAAGGGGGAAGCACGCAGGAACGCAGCTCATCGGCTCCTCTGCACAGAGCCCGCATTCCCCCGAGGGCTGATCAGGCTCTGTCTCTAAGAGGTGACCTGTCCCGTCGCTCCAGGTGGGCATGCTGGCTGTCTCCCTTGCAGCCGTCGCGGACCCCCTGTGTCTGAAAATTAGATTTCTGCATGTGCAGCAGTGGAGAAGCTGAGGCAGGTGCAGGAATGGCTGCGCAAGGGTTTGGAGCGTGACTACGAGAGAAATGGAAGAAGTTGGTCCTATTTTTTCTCGTGCAGTTATAAAGCTAATGGGGTGGCGTTATGGCAGGACAGAAGAGACAGAACGTGCAGGCTCGTCTGCCCGAGGTACGCTCAGCAGAGCTGACAGCCAGCCGGGTGTGTTTCTCTTGTTGTTACTGTTCTGTTGGGTTTTTTAATACCATTTTTCTATTAGCATTTAGAATTAAGGCAGCAAAATACAGCGTATTCCTTAGCTGCCAGTCAAGGGGAGTGGATTACAGGCAAACCGTTTCATTGACGGAATTGCTGCTGCAGCCCAAAGCGCACAAAGTGCAAAATGCGCGTGCTGCAGCATAGAGAGGAATATGGAAAGGTTTTAGGTTTTCCTGACTTTACAAGCAACCGTATGTTTTCTATAAAGCAGAGCGAGAAATTATAGGGCTCTTGGATGAAATCGTCGCCCTCACGAGGTGTTTCAACGTTCGCTTTGGTGTCAACTGGGATTTTTGCTTTTGCTTTGGAGCCTGGAAACGGATTTGAAAAGAAAACAGTCAGTTGTGTTTTTTTTTAAAACGCAAAATCATCAACACACATACATACAAATCATCAGCAACCTTGGTGCTTTCCAGAATAGCAGGGTTTGGGCTTCGGTGGGGCTCGTGCCTGGCACTGGTGTGCACCGCGCGCGTACCGCACCAGCGCACGCGCAGGTGTGGGCTGCTCTCACCGGCTGCTAAGCCTCCGGGTGTTTGTTTTCTCAAGGGAAGTTAGGTGGAAGGAGGATAACAGGATGCTATTCTTTTCCAAACTGCTCCGGAGGAAAGCGTTTCGCCTCGGGCTCGGAAAGCGTGCCTGGGAGCAGAATTGCAGCGCTGGGGGGGCGGGACGTGGGGAACGTTTCCATCCCCTCCGAGATGGCTGGATCTGTCCTTTGGCCTGTTTGTCATGAGACTTTAGGGGAAAAAAAAAAAAAACTTCCGTAGAAGAGGTTAATGTGGTTTTTTTTGTTTTTGTTTTTTTTACTTTCTAGACTTAAAATAGTACCAAGCTGTTTAGCCAAGGTCTCGGAGCACTTTAATATTAATGATAACACAATAAATAAAATCATTCCGTACCCTGTCCTACCAGAAGCAGAGAGGGAAATGCTGGTCATAGCTTTTACAGGGACTGCTGTTTTCCACTTGTTAATGCTGTCACGTAGACCAGCAGTCCCTGGCGCAACACCTCCCTTGGGCTGCAGACCTCTCTTTCCCAGCTCTTACCCACCCCTGTGAAAACGTGACATCATTCGAGGCCGTCGTGAAGCTGCGACAGAACATGGCATCGAAGCCGCCCCTGCCCCGGCTCGGCGTGGGAGATGCCGTTTCTGCAGGCCGCTCGTGGCGGGGGAGGCTCGGCGTGTCACCAGCCGAGTGCCCTGTGACCGCGGGGCTAATCCCCGGCTGCCCGGGTCGTGGCATGCTGCTCCTGAAGCACGGCTCTTCCACCGAGCTCCTTTCTGTTCCTATTGACGGCCCAGGCCTCGTGCATCCGCAGAGGTTAGTCCTTCCCTGGACTGTGAAAACAGCCCGGTGAAACTGGAGTGAGTTGTACAGCGCTTTGCGCTGGCTCCAGAGGTGCCCTAGCTTGCTGTGTGCCGACAGTCGTGCTTTTGCGCCTGGTCTTTCCCTTTTTCCCGGTGATCTCGGTCTCGATGCAAAGGCAGGTTGCTCCGGAGTCGCTCGGGTGCGTGAGAGGGGACGCGCAGGGGAGGCGTGGGAAGGGGACGCACGTCGCGGAGGGGAGGCGGCCGGGGAGCCTGCACCCTGCATCAAGGAAAACGAAAGGAAGGAGGCCGAGACAAGGGAAGAAGAGGCAGAGCGTGTGGAGCTGGGAAGAGCAGGGCTGGCTGCAGTCGCTGTGGTCACCGCTGAGGTCTCTCCCCGTCAGCGCGAGCTGCCCGGCCGGTGCAGACAGGGCACCGAATTCAGTGCCCGTTGCATCTTCCCTGGCGCAAGTCTAGCGTGTGTGGTGTGAGCTGGCGTGGTGGTGCTCTGCCCCCATCTCCTCCTGCTGGGGTTGCGCTGTAGTGCCGTGGTGTTCCCAAACCTGAGCACTTCTCCCCCAGCCCCTTTTCCTTCCTTCTCCAGTTCCTTCCTCTCTTGGAAGAAAACCCTGGAGGCCACCAGGGCAGAGACAGGAGCTGAAGAAGTGGGTAGTAGCACCAAGATAGTTGTCTTAGTTGGTCTTTTGGGAGCCCTGGGCTTCCCTCAGGGATCCCACGAGAGCTGTTGCATGCAGCAGTCCTTGACATGAGAAGGCATCTCCCACCTTCTCCCTACTTCACAATCCTGCCTCGCTCCCCCGCATGTCGCCTGCTCTTCCCATCACCCAGGACCCCGGCAGCTACATGCGCTTGCTCGAACCTGCCTGCTCTCTGGACCGCACAGGGCCCTGCAGATGGCTCTGCAAAGCAGTGGTTTTCTGTTGGAAGAGGTGCAAGGCAGGCTCTCCTTCCCAAAAAGCTGGGGAGGAAAATACATGTCGCTCATGCGGAGAGTGTTGCTGGCTCTGTAGCTCATTTAACCATTCAGAAAGAGCAGGAGAGGCTGGGAACATGTGCTACCTTTTTTTTTTTGGCCTATTGGTGAGTAGAAGCAAGTTGCATGCCCAGTCCCAAACTGGCCGGGTGCCGGCACCGGAGTCGGCACGGTGGCCAGAGCCAGGCTCCTCCTCTGGGCTCCCAACACACGTGAGCCTTCGCCGCACGGCGGCACAACCGCGCCAGCATCTATTCCCCCGTGCAGACGGGGTGGCTCGGCGGTACAATGCGGCGCTCTGTGTCCCGGTGGCTGCCGGAGGCCCTCGTCTCCGCAACGGTTTCACTCTCTCTTTGGGGTTCCCTGCATCCCTCCTCCTCCTCCTTGCGTATCTTGACATCATGTTGTTTCCAGGGGGACGGTGCGGGGGACGCGTGGTTCGTGCTGTGGCTCTGCATCGCTTGAAGATGAACGCGCGTGTCTCCGTTAAAACAACGCGCGCTGCGTCGTCCCTGGCGCGTGCGTTTGGGCCCAAGGCTGCGAGTGTCCCGGTGTCAGGCCCACCTCGTCCTCTGCAGGTCGGGGGACCAGCCTGTAGAGTCCTGGACTCCCGTTTGGGGGGCAAAAGCAGCATCTGTGATTGCTTGGGTGGACTCAGAGGTCTACTTTTTAAGTCAGGGGTTGCCAGGAGACCTCTCAGCTCTTTAGAGGATGGATGGGAGATGTCCCCATACTTCCTCCCACCGAGCACAGCTGGACAAGATGGGGCAGGTCTGTGTCTGTGGCTAGAGATACTGAAACAGTTTTTTGTCTTCTTTAGGATAAAATTAGCCTGGTCCAAACTGCTTGCAAAGCCTGCCCACCTCCAGCTCCCTCCACGTGTCAGAAAATGGGTTCTGGACAGGATTCAGTGACCCAGCTTCCACGTTGGAGCCCAAACACTTAAAAATACTGGTGCTCCCAGCTCTGTGCTCCCCACGCAAGACATACGTACAACATTTATCTAAGCAGGAAATGCTCTGTTTTGTGTTGGGTGCCGACGACAGTGTCCGTCCAGGGATGCGCGGCCGTCCTCGCGTTTCGCTGCCGATGCCCCTTGGGGCACGGCTGCTCTTTGCGTGCGGTGCCCCTGGGCGAGACCCTTCGGTCCCGCAGCTCCTGAATGTGTTTCCCTTCTTTCCCCTGCCGAGCCAGGATTTCCGCCAAGGACCTGAAGAGCATGCTGTCTCAGGTCAACTACCGGGTCCCCAACATGAGGTTCCTGCGGGAGAGATTGACGGTGAGTTTGCAGCCCCTTCCTTCTCCCCGTTTGTGCCGGGGACCCTCAGCAGCATGCTGCCCGCTTTTGAGCGAAAGCACGAGGTGCCTAAACTGCCACGATGCGTTGGCATGCTGCAGAGGCTGCCAGCCTTTCCCGGGAGGCCCCCCACCCACTGCCGTGTCTGAAGAGGTGCCAGCTCCCACGGGCCGCGCTCCCGGGCCCCGAGGGCAGCCTTGGTGCTGGCTCCTGTCGCAGGTTTTGCCCTGCCGGGGTAGAGCTCAGCAACACCAGCCGTGAAACCAGCCCCTACCCTGGCTCTGCCTGCGCCGCTGCAGACCCAGAAATGGCTGGGAGAAAGGGATGGAGCTCGACCAGCTTCTCCGCCACGGCCATTTGGTCTCTACGAAATACCGATGTGGCAGGCGTACAGCCTTGGAGGATCCTAAAGCGTTTGACTTGTGCAGTTGTTAAAGCTTCGTAACACCACTGAGAGAAAGGAAATTGGGAAAAAAAAAAATTTTGTAGTGAGAAATAGAAGGCAGAGCTGGAGGCGACTGAGCTGTGTCCACACGCGGTCCAAAGTGGAGAGGGGAGCCGAGCTGAGAAACTCTGCCGCTTCCGACCCTGCCGGAGTTAGCAGAGGGCCTTGCTCTTTGCCCACTGCTGCAAGCATCTCTGCTTGCCTGGGATTCAGTTTTCCTAAGGAAGATCGCACTGCTCCTAGCAGCCTTCCCAAGGACCCCTGCCCTGTACGAGGTGCGAAGGGGCAGGGAAGTGCCTTCAAGTCAGATCCTGCTGGGGTCTCTTAGCTGGGCTGAGGGCGTGGGACCCTGTACCAACACACGTTGTACAGCCCCACTCGCAGATGAGTAGTTTTGTGTGTATCTAGTACAGGGTATATGCTTTGCAAAGTCAACGTTTCTGACCTCAGGCGCCAGGGTCATCTCTGTCAGTCACTTCCACCAGCAATAAACTCCAGGGCCAAAGATCATTGCGTACAAAGAAGAGCTTATACTTCATGTGTTGCAGATTGCAGACGCTTCAAGTATTCGCTGCAGATGAAAAATAAAATGATCCTTTTGTAGCTATTCAAGTAAGCTGCAATGCTTTTATGATCAGCATGGTGATGCCTCTAGTCGCTCACGGTGAGCTTAGGGAATGCCGGTAGCACGGGTGTAGGATGTGCTCGTGTCCCTGGGCACTGCTGCGGTCCCCTTGTTCCAGCAGAGAGGTGCAAAGGTGGAGGCAAAGCCAGGCCAAGTTTTGTGCTTTCTCTCCTCCTTTTCCTGCCCTGTGGGAGCTTCTCCAGCCCTCCCATGGGGGATCCTCAGGACAGGTGGGCCTGCACAGCCTCAAGCCCTGCAAGTCTACTGCAGAGCTGCCTGTGGACCCTGTAAAACTTCTGCTCTTCTTGGCCGTAGGACGTGGAGCAGAGGAACGGGGATATAACATACGGGCAGTTTGCACAGCTGTACCGCAGCCTGATGTTCAGCGCCCAAAAAATGGTAAGAGCTGAATTCTCCATGGCAGGGATGAGGAAGGAGACCTGTGTTTGTTACTGGGCGTTTTCTCTTAATTGCCTTTTTAACCTTGCCTCCATCAACTAATAGCTTGTTTCCTACCTCTGAGCCAGGGAAGGCAGCAAGTGAATAAGCTTTTGCTTTAGCCTGATGAGCACAGTACTTCGAGGGCTGCGTGAGCACTAGCTGTAAGATTAGCAAAGCGGGACAGAGCCCTGCTGTTCCAGCTCGCATCGAAGCCAGGCTGGAGCGCCTCGCAACCCAGCATCCGTCCCCCGAGTCCGTGCCTGACACTGCTGTGAACAGTGGCTCAAGGAGCAGGACAGAGAGGGGTGAGGGCCAGACACCTACGGCTGCTACAAGAGAGGTGGGAGCTGGCCTGTGATTGCCTTCATACAGCACCAAGGCCCAGTGTCCGGGGGCTAGAGATCTGCCTGCAGCGAGCCGAAAGGGTCTAGCAGACCAGGGCTATAGAAAGAGCTGTTTTACTACCCTGTCACCTTCTTGGTCAAACTGTGCTTTCACATACATTGGTGCCACTGATGCAAACCTGATGCTTGTGCTTTTTCTTTTGCAGATGGACGTCCCGTTCCTAGAAAGGTGGATAATTCTCTGTTTGCTGGGGAAGGGGCAAAGCTGTTTCCTTTTGCTCCCTAGCATGTTTTGGTGTCAGCGGTAGCCTGTCTGGGATGAGGCATGCTGCGCGCCTCTTGCTTGTCACCGTGCTGCTTGCACTTTGTGAATCAGTGTCTGCATTGTAGACGCTTCAGCTCGGGTCAGTAAGCGACTCCCTTTCTCCCAGGCATTTGGCTGAGACCTAACTCAGGTCAGCTGTGTCCAAAAAATTGTCAGTTGTTTTATGCGAAATAAATCAGACGTTGAGCTGCTTCCCCAAAGATACCTCGTAGCTGGTGCCGGTTGGCCGCTTTGCCAGGTCTGCACAGGGCAGCAGCAGTGACTCGCCGCCGGCCCCGCTCCAGGTGGTGCCTGCGGTGCCATTGCCAGCTGGGCCCTTCCCTGGCCCGTGCACATCTCAGCTGTGATAAAAAGAGTCTCCGTTTAGACACAGAAGCTAAAGAGTGAAAGACTTATTAACTTGTGCAGGTAATTTCCCATGGTTCCCTCTCTTTTTTTTAATATAATCATAGGAAAGAGAATCGGAAGGGACCATCTGGTTCGTCCCTGTGCCCAAGGCAATCAGCACTGCCTAGTGCATTTTTTTCTCCTGTTTGTCCCCAGCCTGGCCCTTGGCTGTCCACTGCAGCCAGGTACTCTCATGGGCGAGTAGTCTTTTGAGATAATCAGCTGCAGACAGTCCCTCCTTCACTCCCAGCAGCTCCCTGAGTCCATGCGCTCTGAATATCTGTAGGTCTGTCCCGTCCGCAGCCACCCCTTGACTGCCCTGAATCTATTTAGTTCTTTTGTACAACTCTGTCCCTCTGGCTCCCTGATTATTTTTGCTGCTCTCTGCTGGAGTTTCGTGCTGTCCTACCCTTGGTGGTGTGACTCCTGGACTCTTCCAGGTGCCCCCCTCTCTGGGATGTGGACACGTAAGCTCAGCTGCGGGGGGCGTCTGCCATCCTGCTTTTGTGGTGCTCTGTGTGCATCCCTGTCCAGTCTCGCGGTGTTGCCTGTGGGGGGAGATGGCATGTGTCACCTGCATGTGCCATGCTGTTTGCCAGTGGCCACTCCTGTGATCCTGGTAGCTGTTCTTAGTGACGTGTTGTGACACTGCTTGAAGCTTCTCTCTCTGCTCTCAGGGGTGGAGAAAGGTCTGAACACTTCAGGGTGTCGCTGCTGGACTTCCAGAAGTTCTTGCTGGAGTGCCAGATGGTGAGCTGTGGGACACAGCATGCGGGGCAGGCCGTCATATCTGCAGGGACCATGCGCTTGGGGGGTGCAGCTGTGACCTGCAGCTGGAACGATCGGGCCGTGGGGAGCTCTGCCCGACCAGGGCCACCACTGGAGAGCACCTTGCCTGGGCCAGGAATGGGTAAAGGGGAGCCCTGATAAGCGTGGCCTCAGCCAGGCACCTTTGTCAGAGAGCAGATAGAGAGCAGAAGATCCCTGCAAGGCCTGAGCAAGGCAGAGGCTCCAGGAGGGAGGAACTGGGGAGCAGAGGTTTACTGAAACCCCGAGTTTTTGGCTGATACTGAAAGACTGCAGGAGCCAAAGTCCCTGGTCTGTCTCGTCTCCCCAGTGGGAGCATCTGCCCAGGAGACCCCTGGAGATCCGAGAAGCAGCCTACTGATCTGCTTGCCGACCTTCCCTTTTAAAGGAAACTTTTCCTAGCATTCAGAAAGCCCAGCGTGCGTATGCACACGCGCCCGTGGGCGCAAACAGTGCGCAGCAGACTGCGCGCACCCTTTCCGCAGCCTCCGGCCAGGCTCCATCACCCCGCAGCCTTGCTCCTCGTGAGGCCGAGTGCGCGGGGAGGGCGGTGTCCAGCACCTCCCGCTTCGGGCCGGGCATCCTGTCTCCCGTGGCTGCCTCCCTGTTGCCTCATCTGTAGCAAGTAGAAAATTAACCAGCGGCGAGACGCAGCCATTTTGATGACCTAACGAAAGACGCGCGGGGAGAGGAATAAACAAAAGGAAGCCGAGTTGGCTTCTGCTGCAGAGGGAGCTGGCGCAGCAGATGTGTGCAGCGGAGCTAGGAGAGAGAAAAATACGTGAAACTGAGAAAACGAAGACCACTTAAGCGTGGGTCGGGTTTCTGCAGTTGCTTGCTAGCCAGTGTTTGTGCTGATAGTTGAATCCCTAGGCAGGGATGGCCTTACATTAAGCACTGCCTCCTTAATGGTTAAAGCGTCTAGCTGGACGTGCTGCATGTGGTTTTGAATAACACTTTCTGAAATTGCATCTTTTTTTATGTCTCTCTGTGGGTTTGCAGGAGCTCTGGGCTACAGATATCCTTCAGGTGCAGGAATTCATGTTCAGCTTCCTGAGAGACCCTTTGAGAGAGATTGACGAGCCTTATTTCTCCCTGGATGAAGTAAGACGCCTTGAGTGCTAGTGTCTGCATAGACTGGGGGGGAATGGGGTGCGATGTCCCCAGTGCAATGAGCGCTGCGGTGTGTCTGGCTGTCCTGTCTGTGTCTTTACTGTGTGGTTGTGGTCAGAGGATCGCAGTCTCCTGTGAGCAGCATTGCTATACAGGATGAGCTTTGTGGTCTAGGTGGTCACCAGGTTGCGCAGGAGCAGGCAGACGTACCCACTGGTGGAGAGAAAGGTTTCTCGGCTCTCCTCTTGCGCTGAACATGTGCAGTTGGGAGCGCTCGCCAGCCAGTTCATTTGGACAGTGGATGATTACAAGCGATGCAATTGCTAGACAAAAAGAGGTTACATTTGGCTTAATGCTCCTTTGCAGCATGTCTCTCTTCAAAGCAAAAAAGTTAGTATCCAGAATTGCTGAAAACAAAAGAATAAAAACAACTGGAGATCTCCACATCGCTACATTCTGGACTAACTCCCATCCAAAGGTCCCTTGATCCACGTGGCCTTAATGAGCTATTGCCTGCTGTGTGAGCTGAGAGTGTGCCTGATTCGCAAAACTTTGTTTTATGAATGCAGAGTGATTTATTTGACTCCTGGTAGGCCAATGTTAAGGACCTGTGTACAGACACCTGGCGTGGCTTAGAGGATAGGTGGTAATGCCTGAAGCTGTGGTCACTCTAGCACGCTGGGTCAGGTGGCCATGCACCGAGTCTCGGTTGCCTCCAGTCGGGACTGAATCAGGCCCTTGGCTGCCTGGTCGCGGTGGAGTTGGTGGTCAGCCTCCCACCACACAATATAGTCTATGCGGGGCTTGTAAAACAGCTTCCCTCTTAGTAGCTGCTGACAGTGAAGGCAAGCTGTGCGTGTAAAACTAAACTGCTGCACTCAAATCCTCCTTGTCGTTAACACTCTTCTGTTTTTTCTCTTGAGCAGTTTCTCACCTTCCTATTTTCCAAAGAGAACAGCATCTGGGACTCACAGCTGGACATGGTGTGTCTGGAGAACATGAACAACCCCCTCTCTCATTACTGGATCTCCTCCTCACACAACACGTAAGGACAAGGGAGATGTCTCTTTCCCTGCCCGTCTATTCCCATCCTGTTCTCCTATGCCAGGGTGAAATTCTCCCAGTAACTGCTTTGTCTGATCCCAATAATGTGACAAGTAGACTTTTCCAAACTGGGGATCAGTACATCAGAGACTTTCCTCTTGGCACCCGAGTCTTCCCCCTATGGTTTTATCATCAGTGTTTTGCTTTGTCAGCAATGTACGTCTGTACAGACAGTGCTTTCAGGTCCCAGGCTGTCACCCCAGCCGTCTCTTCCTGTTAGCAATATCATCTTTCATAGCCTTTAGGAATGGATATGATAAAACCCTGGCAGGCTGAAGTTGACCACATACCCCTCAGCTGCATAGAAGAATCTGGTAGGGCTTGCAGTCCTTGCAGGCAGTTGCACACTCTGTCTGTGCGGTGCAGTGGCGACACAAATTTAAAAGCCAGAGAGTCTGATCTCCCAAGCCAGCTTACAGCTGAGCTGGAGCACAAGCAGGGAGCTCCAGTCTGCCTGCAAGAGCTGGTCTAACCCTGCTCTAGGATTGTGGGAGTGGCTCACTCTTCGTCTGGCTGGCACAGGGGGCTCCTTGTGGCACCAATACTGATATGGTGCCACTTATCAGTGGCACCATAGGTTTTTAAGGTTTTTAAGCTCAAGAGCCAGCAGCAAGACTGTGCCTCATTAAGGTAGTGTTTGAAGCCCCTTAGAGTAGGGGTAGAGTTGAACCATACCTATGCAAGACGATAGGGACTGCATGAGAGTTGCTGTCACCTTTCCTTACAACGCAGAGGTGGGTCCGTGGTGTCCCAGGAGACATCCATTCCTGTAGTGCTTGTCTTTCTTCTCCTGACGCCTTCTCTCATGTGAAAGGTACTTGACGGGAGATCAGTTCTCGAGCGAGTCCTCGCTGGAAGCGTACGCCCGCTGCTTGCGCATGGGGTGCCGATGTATCGAACGTGAGTGCCGAGGCAGAGCTGGCTCCTGTACTGGCAGCTTTTGTCTCCACCGTTATGGCAGTTTACCGGGGCGGGTAAAGTCTTTGCATGGAAGGCAGGGCTGAAGGATGAAGTCCTGATGGCGGCATTTTCACTATGACATGCTAAAAGGCCCAAGGCCATTTGCTTTGTGGGGCTGTTTGCTCCCCTTTCTCCTTTATTGCCATCCAACAGGAGTTCCCTGCAGCGCTCAGATCAGTGCGTCTTGTGTCTGGGTCTTGCCCTTGCTCTGGCCTTTGGGCTAAGCTTCCCCTGTGGGTGTCTTTCAGTGGATTGCTGGGACGGTCCTGATGGGATGCCAGTGATCTACCATGGGCACACCTTAACCACCAAGATCAAGTTCTCCGATGTCTTGGTCACTATCAAGGAGCATGCCTTTGTAACCTCCGAGTGAGTACAGCAGGGACCTGAACTTCACCTAGCAGAGCTGGCAGAAAGGCAAAGAGTGGGTAGAGCTGAGGCTGTAGCAGAGCGAAACCCACCTTTATCCAGAAACATGGCATGAAACTGGGATTGAGGGGGAAGAAAGCATGCCTTTGTACCTTCCAGCCAAGGGGAGAGTTCATCCAGAAAAAAGTCTTGTGGGAGGGAAGGCTTTGGGAGATGTCGATAGTTTACCAGTCCTTCTCTACTCTGTGCATCGCCAGCAGAGGTGGGGGCAGCTTGCTGTGGGATGGTTATGCTGAAGGCTCGAGACAGCACAACTGCAGCATGGATAGCCCGTGCTGGAAAACACTCTTTGAGTGCACAGAAGCCAGGTTTTGAAACCAAGCTTGGAAGGTGTTAAATCCCATGCGGACGCTGCTCTGGTACCAATAACTGTTTTCCTCCTCCCAGTTTCCCTGTCATCTTGTCCATTGAGGACCATTGCAGCATCGCTCAGCAGAGGAACATGGCTCAGAATTTCAAGAAGGTCTTTGGGGACATGCTGTTGACCAAACCAGTAGATATTTCTGCTGATGGGCTCCCCTCTCCAAACCAGCTCAAGAGGAAGATTCTCATAAAGGTGGGCTCCTTCCTCAACTAGGTTTCTAAATGGAGAAAATAGGAGTGGATGGGGCAAGAGTTTGGGACCCAGCTCAGAAGCAGCGTGCTGCCCTTTTTGGGAGCTTGGTAGGATACTGGTGTTTCTCCTGCAGAAACGATCCCTGGAAAGAAAGAGTGGGACTTCAGTGCCTTTTGATAATCTCTGTGGTGTGGGTCTTGTCTTAGGCCTTTTAGTCTGGAGAGAACCCCCTGCATCCGACCTGCAGTTTTAAGGTGGTTCACATCTGAGTACCAGGAAATTCATTCTTCTTTTTGGGGTGTCTGCATGCCTGAAGGTGCCTTACCGCTCTCTTGTTCCACAGCACAAGAAGCTGGCAGAGGGCAGTGCTTATGAGGAGCTCCCCACATCCGTAATGTATTCAGAGAATGACATCAGCAACTCCATCAAGAACGGGATCCTCTATTTGGAAGACCCCATCAATCACGTACGTCTCTGTCACTGTCACCCTGGGCCTTCTCTGTGGGCCGTTTAGGGATCCACCACTAAACCAGGCTCTTTGAATTAGGTAATAACTCAGTAAGGCAACACATGGTGCTGGAAGGAAGATCTGTCGTACAAATGATCTAAGGAGCTGTTGGCCTGTCCTGCTTATCGGGAATCCCTGAGCCACAAGTAGCTGAAGGCTGGGAGAGTTTTTATGCTGCCTCTCTCCTGTGCTCTTCCCTAGGCATCTCCTGCTGGCCCTTGTTAGAGGGAGAAGGCTGGGCTAGAGGGAGCTCTGGGCTGATGTGCTACAGCTGCTCTTCTGCCCTTGTGTAATCCGTATAGCGTGTTATCTATTGCTGCAGTAAGTTCTAGTGATGGCCTGCATTTCTAGACCTAGCTGCTTATCATCAAGTGCCTAAACACTTAATAACATGCCTATACGAGCACTCTGCTTTGTAAAGCGTTGAGCATTCATTTTCCTGCGTGCATTTACTTATACACAGTCCACTTCTTTAGCTGCTTTTGCTTTGATGAGGATATTTCAGGCAAAGTCATGTGGGAAAGAAATAGGTTTTTGGAAAATAGCAAAGTGCAATGGTAAAACTGTTCCCATCTCTGATATCCCCTGTGCTGAATCTGTGCTGAGTGTTTTCTTTCTGCATTGATTTGCCCTTCCCTTTGCCGTCTCCCTTTAACTAATGTTCACAGCGTGATCTGCAGTCAGTTTGTATGTGAGATCTATCACATGCTCTTTTTTGCTACTGATAAATCCCTGCTTTGGACCTGGAGAATGTCTTGGAAGCTCCTGTGACTCTCCACTTAAATCACTGTTGTTGATGACTGTCCTTCACAAACCCATTCACCCCTCACTGCTTGTGCTCATCAGGAAGAGAAAACCCCACTGGTCAGTGCTGGGCCACTTGGTGCTCCCTTAGGGGATCTCTTTGCCCAAAGCTCGTTTCCTTGCAGGAGTGGAACCCACATTACTTTGTCCTGACCAGCAGCAAGATCTATTACTCTGGGGAGACGACCAGTGACCAAGGAAATGAGGATGAGGAAGAGCAAAAGGAGGTAAGGGCAACGCTCCCTTGTGTGAAGGTAAGTTGTTGCTCTAGAGAAAGGACCTGACTGCCCAAGGGGCTCCTCTGCAGCCTGACTTCAGAGGAAGATGCTGTGGTGGGAAAGGTGGCAGCTAATTCAGAAGTTCCTTGGTCCTAATTAGAGGCCCCATGAGCAGAGCAGGCCCAGGCACCGTGAGCCTGTCCTCAGTGACCCAAGGCTGTGTGTTGTCCCCCTGCCAGGCGAGCAACAGCACCGAGCTTCACTCCACGGAGAAGTGGTTTCACGGCAAACTGGGGGCAGGTCGTGACGGGCGCCACATAGCTGAGAGGCTGCTGACGGAGTACTGCATTGAGACGGGGGCCCCCGATGGCTCCTTCCTTGTGAGAGAAAGCGAGACCTTTGTTGGAGACTATACCCTCTCCTTCTGGTAAGGGTCCGCACGTACCAGCCTGTTCACTGCTCTGCATGTCACTCCTGGGGTGGTGTTCATCTTGACACTGTCCAGCGGTTTTCCTAGGTGGAGTCCCATTCCTGTCTCTGCCACTGATCTGCAAGTGTGTTTCCCTGTATCTCTGTGCCTCCCTGTCCCATCAGCTCACTGTGTCAGTGCAGAAGGGTAAAGTCCCTGGAGACCCTTGTGCCATGATCTCCTGTGGGGCATGAACTTTGTGTCCTCCTCAGCTGACCCCGGCTGGAGCTGTGTCTGAGACAGGTGTAAAATCTCCACAGGGGGACGACCACGACCCTAGTTCACCCCATCTCCTTTCTGCAGGCGCAATGGGAAGGTGCAGCATTGCAGGATCCACTCACGGCAGGATGCTGGCAGCCCCAAGTTCTTCCTAACTGACAACCTAGTGTTTGATAGCCTCTACGACCTCATCACCCACTACCAGGAGGTGCCACTGAGGTGCAACGAGTTTGAGATGAGGCTGACGGAGCCAGTGCCTCAGACCAATGCCCATGAGAGCAAAGAGTGAGTGTGTGTGTGTGTGTGTGTGTGTGGAAGGGTGGGTTGTGTCCTCTAGTGACTGGGCAGCTGGTACTTGGTGGGAAACCCTCCTAAGTCTGTCTGCAGTCCCTGCTGGGGCTCTCTGGTCCCGCTTGCTCCCTGCAGGGCTCTCTGTGTCTCAGCAGCACAGCTCCCTGGGCAGCAATGCTGGCCAGCTTTGTTGCTTTTGGAGCTGGCTGTCCTGGGAACTCTGAGCAAAGAATGGCGATGTTAGGCTTGCTTGCAATTCCTTTGGCCATGCCACATGTTGCCAACTGGCTCTGTTCCTGATGCATCCCCTGGCTGTCCCACAGAGGGGAGAAGACAGTCCTGTGGCAGTGTGCATCTGTGATGGTGATCTCTGCTGCCTTCCTCTTCCTAAGGATTCAGGCAGCCTTTGGGGTGCGAAGGGAAACAGTATTGCATGGCAGAGCTTTGGGCTGAGTCTGGGATGAGCCAGATGGGTGCAGAGACTTGCTCTCAGTGACATTTCTTTCCCT